GAGTTCTAAGGGACCCCCGGCCACCCTCAGGATTGGAGTTCTAAGGATTGGAGTTCTAAGGGACCCCGGCCACCCTCAGGATTGGAGTTCTAAGGGACCCGGCCACCCTCAGGACTGGAGTTCGAAGGGACCCCGGCCACCCTCAGGATTGGAGTTCTAAGGGACCCCGGCCACCCTCAGGATTGGAGTTCTAAGGGACCCCGGCCACCCTGAGGATTGAAGTTCTAAGGGGAACCCAACGCCCTCAGGATTGTAGTTCTAAGAGGCAGAGGTGAACTTCAAGTGATTCAGTTGTGTGTGGTAGTTGTTGCTGATTTTGTTTGTTTTGTTGTGCTGCTGTTGAATTACATTTGTTATTGTTCTTTGTGGTCTTCATTTATAAATTGTTGTTGTGTTTGTGCTTTTGTTGGTGTGAGTTGTTGTTGAACTACGGTGTTGTGCCATGTTGTGCTGTTGTTGTTGGTTAATTGTTTGTTTGGTTGCTGTTACATGTCTGTACATTTGTGATGATTGCTAATCTGGTTGTTTGTATCTGTGTCTGTGTTGATTTGTTATTTGTTGATTCAGTTGATGCTTTTGTGAAACGGATGCGCTGCCAGCAAGTGTACTGAGTGAATGCATGAGCTAGTTACCAAGCGCCGGAGATCACATCAAACACGGCATGTGATGCAAGCGTCTGCCTAGCCACGCATTTGATCATGTCAGCATGTCATGTAATTGTGAGACTGTGAGACCTCGTGCACTCAACGCAGCCACATGCCAGAGTCACACAAACACACATGACATGAAAACTGACGGGTCCGCCTGGAACATCATCATCATCACGACCTGGGCAAGCGCAAGCGATCATTGAAACTGGCTCGAGCTCTACACTGACAACTGCTTCAGCATGTGCGTGGCGACTTGCTTCGGATGCATTCCGCACACAGGTAGTGATGCAGTGGCACATGCTTTTTTCGCCGATGGCCAGTGGTCCTTCACGCCTTGTCACGGCGACCACCCCGTGCAGGAGTCCTACTCCTGGCCGCCTTCCGCTTGTGCTTCTTGTCTGTGTCCTGGGTATTCAACACAGCGGTGAAACGGTGAAACACAAAACGTCATGCGATGTGACACTGGCACTGTCGAACGCGGATTGCTGCACTGCAACCAAGATTCAGGCTCAGGTGGCCGGCGTGTCCTGGATCCAGACGGCTCCTGAGTTACACGTTATCTCCATGTCACCATGTCATGTGTTCAACACAACGCAGCCCACAGCGTCCACAATCACAAGCTGCCGTGCATGTGCCGCGCGCGCATGCTGCCGAGGTGCGGCTGTCGATGGCATTGCCTCATCCACCTCCACCGGTGGAGCTGATCATGAATTGGTGTCGGGCTGTCACATGCATCACATGCGCAGAGGACCATGTGCACATCTTGCCGAGGTGCGGTTGGCGATGTCGATGCCGCTGCCCTTTTCTCATCCCGCACCTGATCATGAATTGGAGTCGTGTCCCATGCAAAAAGGACTTTGAGTGCATGCTATGACGTCACTGCGCTCACAGACGATGCCTTGCTCGGCTGCGACGGCTCTGCCTTATTGGGCGCCGTCCTCGGTGCCTCCAGCTGTGTTCCCTACCATGGTTTATGCATGGATTGCATGTTGTGTCTTTGCTGCGCTCTGATTCGCTGCCTTGGCTGGCGGAGCCTTCTTTGCCCGGTTGGACGGAGCCGACGGAGCCTTCTTTGCCAGGTTGGACTTCCTTGGCGCGGCCTTGGTGGCGTGTCGCTCGATTGTCTTGGCTGACAAAACTGATGCTGACATGACAAACATATCCAGGTCACTGGTCACTGCAAACTGACTCACTCTGCTCCACACACGAACCATGCAGCTGCGGTACCTTGCTGCCCGAATTCCCAGACCTCGAAGACTTCGACGACGAAGATCTCGACGAGGAGCTGGAAGATGCCGAAGACGACTCCGGTGACTCCAGGAGGTTGTGCGTCCTGAGCAACTCGATCTCATCCTCCCGCAGTGGGCTCAGCGACTCCTGCCTCTTCCTCTTGTCGCGGCCCCTGTTCTCGGCAGCCTTGACCTTGCCGGCATATTCGGCCCCGACGCCCTGGGCATCCTTGCGTCGTCCGCCTCTGGCCGCCTTCGCCGTAGCCGCCTTAGCCGCAGCCTCTTTCGGCTGTTTCGGTGCCTTCTTGGCTGCTGCTGCCTCTGCAGCCGCAGCATTTTCAGCCTCAGCCTTCATCCTGGCTGCTCTTGCCTGGGCCAGCTCCCACACCTTCTGCTGCGCCTTCGCCATGGCCGCCCTCTTCTCCGCGGCAGCTGCTGCGGCCTCCTCAGCTTGCTGCCGCTCCCTGCTCAGACGCAAGGACGTCTCCGCAGCAGCCAGCGCAGCTTCCTCGTCTGCTCGCCTCATAGCTGCCAGTTGAGCCGCCTCTGATTCGGCCCTCAAAGTAGCCTGGGCTCTCCGAACAGCCTCGGCATGCGCTGCTTCCTCGTCTGCCCGCCTGGCAGCTGCCAGTTGAGCCGCTTCTGCTTCGGCCACCAAAGTAGCCTGCTGGGCTCTATACCTTGCCTCGGCTGCCTCAGCATTGGCCTTTGCCTCCCGGAGGTCCTTGGATAGTGGGCGTGAACACTTGTTGATTCATCAAACTCAACTTGCATTGCCTCGATGCGTTTATTGCAGATAAAGACTCAGCTCCAAGATCCAGCCTCTCACCACCGCCCATGTTCACCGCGGCATAGAGCTGTGGCTGCCGATCGAGATCGTTGTACGACGTCCTGAACGTTTGCACTTGCCAGCACTGCAACCGTTTACGACAACGACACATGCGACTCTCACACACACACACACACACACACACACACACGCACATGCACTGCACTCATGCACTCATGCACTGATGAACTGCAGCTGCACAAAACTCAACAAGATCAACATGCACTCGCATGGTCCTTGGTGTCTCCATTGGAGCCGGGTCGGGTGAGGAGGGCGGTGAGGAGGGCGGTGACACAGGTGAGACCCGCTCCCCGTTTGAGGTCGGTGCGGCCGGCTCTGTTTGTTGATATGGGACTGGCGTGGTTGTGGTCGGTGCCGGCTGTGGGACCGGCGTCATTGGGATCGGTGCCGGCTGTGGGACCGGCGTCATTGGGATCGGTGCCGGCTGTGGGACCGGCGTCATTGGGGTCGGTGCCGGCTGTGGGACCGGCGTGATTGGGGTCTGTGCCGGTTGTGGGGCCGGCGTGACCGGTCTGTCCTTCGCGGGCTGCATCCCAGGCGGTGGGAATGGCGGACGTTTTGGCATGGCCTTCTGCTGCGGCGGGGCTTGAGGCTCGGGGGTCAACTGGTCGCGGTTTTTGGCTGGTTCCCCCTTCGGCAGCGGAGGTGGCTGCGAGTGGTCGGGCCATGGTGGCTGTGGTGATGGTGATGGTGCTGCATGTGGTGATGGGGCTTTCGGTGGTGGTGGTGGTGGTGGTGGCGGTGGTGGTGGTGGGTGGGGCGGTGGTGTCATTGGTGGTGGGAATGGCGGTGGCTGTGGCTGTGATTTTGCCTGCGTTGCTGCAAAAGCAACATCTGGTGCAACTTCGTTGCTGCTGCTGCTGCGATTCCAGGCACCAGTGGCGCCAAATCGAAGATGAACCGGCAATGGGGTCCCCGGCATGTAAGGGCTGGCTGGCGCCGCCTTCATTGTCTGGTCTGGTGCCTCCGCAAGCCTATGGAAGGGCCGTCTCTGCGGCCGCACGGCCGGAGGCGGAGGAGGTGGCGTGAAACTCATGATGGCGCCGGCCAGCAAAACAAAGATGGAGAATTCGAAAGGCTTCTGGAAGCTTCTACACTCTGGATTTACAGCCAAGTTTCACAGTGGTTAAGTCGTTGGCCCCTTTGGCCCTGAACTTCCCTGAACACATGTCGTGTTATCCTTCATGACTACATGTGAGACTCATGGACTCATGGACCATGAAACGTGAATTGCTTTCAGCTGGCACAAAGCCTACCCTGAGCCTTTCTCTTCGGAAGACGGTGCAGTTGTGCAGTCGACAAACGAAGTGCAACATGCAGCAATGCAGCAACGATTCAGGAATCACATGTCATGTGACTGTGACAGCCATGTGCACCTCGCAGCTACGTCACTCGCATGCCACGTGTCAGCAACATGTCCCCTTGATTCAAGAGTTCATCGCCAAGGACCCGGCTCAGCCGCAGATTGTTGCGGAGCACAGCGCGCAGGCGCAAGTGGTCGGCCGCCTCAATTATGTGTCTGTGTGTCTCACTTTTGACTTTAGAGCATGTCAACATACTCGCTACATGCAAGACTGACATGACTGCACGCACTGGTTGTGTCAAGCTCCACAGTCCACGGAATGTGATACCCAGTGATACCCCTGATACGCCGTGCATAGTCCATAGTGCATAGTACATAGTGACATGGCTGATATGGCCCTGACTGCACACAGACTGCACACACCAGCTGCTCACGTCCAACCGTCCAACTGATGATCTGAGATTCCTGCTGCATTGCACCTGCTGCTGACGATGATGATGACGCTGCTGCTGCTTTTGCACCGCTGCCGGTCAGCAAACTCCACCAATCGTTCTCGGCGGGAAGCGATACAGGCATTGGAACCTTATTCTTCTGAATCGACTCAACTAGCCCCGCATCAGCGCTAGCCAGCACATCCATCAAGCCTGTCGATTGGCCGATCGTGAGAAGCTTGCGCTCACAGATAGCGTGAAACCCTAGGCAACAGAATGGACATCGTGTTGCACCGTTCCTTTGGCACAGCACGCAGCGAACAATACCACTGTCGAACGGCGTGTCCTGACACTCACAAACTCTATCTTACTTATCGGTCAACAGTCATGACGCCATGAACAACTTCCATGTTCAATGATTCAATGATATGTTGCTCTTGCTCCTCTCGCTACCCGGTACACTGCACAGACTGACATGCTGACATGCACTATGCACTGCACAACGCATGGCATGGCATGTGGCACGTGGCTGCGATATCACCGGTCCTCGTCTGGGATCTCATCGTCCGTGGTTGGATTCGTGCTTTGTGAAACTGAAGTCAGCATGTACTCGCAAAAGTCTCGGAGCCGCAGGAAGTGCGGTGACACTGCATCTCGATCGGGGTCGGTTCGCTTGACTTTACGCATTGCTGCTCGAACAGACGGTAGCAGAACATGAGCATGGCGATCGTCCAAACAAAGCTCCGGATAGCCGATGCCGTTGCTTATGCCAGTGCGATACATCGTGCAGTCTGCCACAGAGAACAAAACTTTACCGTTGTCATCTAATCTCACTTCACGTCCTTGTCGACCAATCAAGCCATGCCTTAGCTGCTCTGTCAAGTTTGTTAGGTTGCGAAGCGATGTGAAACAGTCAGGTGAGACGGTGAGACAGTGAAAAGCGGATGAACACAACTCACTCCTGCGTTGCTCACCTCAATGTAGACTCCGTCACCTCCGGCTACATGTTAGCTTGGCTGCAGCTGCGCCACCTCCCGTTGTTCAGCCAATGGACCCATATGAGATCTTGAGAGTCATCTGTGTATTTGCAGCGAACACACTTGCAACCCGCTGCAGCAACCCCCATGCTTTTGAGCAACACCAAACTGATGCTGCGATCTGTCCCCAACAGCACGTCCTTGGTCTTCGCATACTCATGCATTGCCTCAAGCATCAGATGACATGCCATCACCCATCGTTTCAGGACATGCCCGTCACGCTGAAGATCTACCATTGCCTTCGATCTGAGCAAAGCAGCGATGTCATGTGGGAGCTCTGCCTCAATGTCAGACTCATTATCCGACGCAGAGGCATCAGCACCGCTGAGTGCATCCCCCAAAACACCTTCTGTGTCGACTGGCTCACGCTGACTCGCCAAGCTTGCTTCACCCATGACTTCACCGGACTCTTCTGGAAGCTGTGAGCCCATGTGAGGCTGAGGCTGAGTGCTGTCTTCGCCCGGAAGTACGTGTCCTGTAGATCCTGTAGATCTGCAACCAACGCCCATGTTTTTGGCTTTCTGAGAGCGAGCCCTACGAACCAGAAGCAACAACGCTTCTTCTTCGACAGCCGCGTCTGGAATCAGCTCGGCATTGCGATGTATATCCTCAGCCACTGCAAACACATTCTTCGACGATGGCAGGCGAGCTGGATCCGTGGCAGCAGCCGCGCTGGCTTCATTGATTTCCTGCATCTCGTGTTGTGCTGTGTTGTCATCATCCGAGTCCTCAGCATCAGTGGCTACCTCGACATCGTCGAGGAAGTTATCATTATCATCAATGTAATCCGCAACATTCGGTGGATCCACGTCGGCTTCGTTTGCATCCGCTTCAGGCGCATCCTTCCTCTTGCGACCTGCTTGCTTTGCTTGTGGTTTGCGCTTTGCTGCCTCTGCCTTTGCTCTGGCCTTCCTTCCAGATTGTGGTTTCCCCGACTTGGCCGCAGACGGGTGAGACTCAGCAGTCATGACAAACACATGGTTCACCAATTGTAGGACCGAAGCCACTCTTATCTCACCCTCGCCCTCTGCATCTGTTCTCCAGCCAGGCAGCAGGAGGTGAGACATGTCTGGCGACAACACTACGTAACCCACTCGCAAGCGCAAGCCTCGACCAGAGCAGGCACCGTAGAAACTCAAGAAGAACAAAGTGGATTCAACGCAATTGTTCTCTTCATAAACCCACTGAAGACACGGATGACCATTGATCTGCACACAGTGAATCTTCGAGAACATCACGCTTACCGAAAACTTCTCTGCCACTGCGAAGAACAATGGTGGCTGCTGCTGCTGCACTAGCCCATCGTTGCCCTCGCCGTCGGTCTCGACGACTGCAATCAGCAAACCTGAACCCACTCTGTGACCAGCATCCTGTTGTTTGTTCTTCTTTGTGGATGATGTAGTTGCTCGACGCCACGCCAGGTTGTATGACTTCGCCCATGAGATGCCACTGCTTGATTTTGCTTTGGCAAGGTCTGCTACAAGCAATGAGTTTCCCGGCTGGCCCCGTCCAGCTTCTGCTGATGAAGCTGCTGATGACCCTGTTTGATCTTCTGGCCCCCTCACAGAAAGCACTGCTTCGCGGTCCGTGATTGCAAGCACTGCCGGTAACACGCCACTACCGCAGTTTGCAGGCAGAGGCATAGACCATCTGCCATCATTCGATAGGATGGCGAGCGACGCCGTCTTGAAGCCAACAATTGATTTCATTAGCCCTTCCGCCGTGTTCTTGATAGCCGACCATTTTTTCTTCCTTGCCATACTGTGATCTTCACTCAAAGCACGCCGGATGGCAAGCCTAGACGACATCAATTCCAGACTGATGTTCGGCGCACGCCGACCCATCAACTTGATCAAGCTGTTTATGCCCTCGATTGCTTGTGTGTCAGCAGGTAGCATGCGTGCAAGACCCTTCAAGAATGCGTACAGAAAGCTTCCAGATGGCGAACTCACGTCGGGAAACACGCCAGTGATCCGCAAATGCTGCAACTCACGACAACAAAGCTCTCGGATCTTGCGTGTAGCTGAATCAAGCTGATGTGCATCGAGCCCAATCAACTCCTCAGCCACCTGCTGCCTGCGTTTGCAAAACCTTTTGGGATGGCTCTTGATCAACCAGAAAAGCTTCATGGGGTATTGCCGCAAAGGTCTGATGATGCGACGACGAAACGCTGCCCAGTGCAACAGCAACAATCTCAACGCAAGATACCTCATGCGGACAATGTCTGCGTGTGAAAGTCCCTTTGTTTCGTGGAAACAGCCTGATAACTGCAGCGCCTTGTCAACAATTTCTGGTAGCTTCTGAAACAATGCACTGAACTCTGCAGTGAACTCGTCTAGCTTCATGGTGACAAGCCGGAACATGCAATCGCCAAGCTTTGCGCCCTTCTGGACGAACAACATGAAATGCCGCAAAGGACTCCGCAGCGCACGACACAAATAGAGCAAGCACCAGAAAATCGGAGAAGTTATAGTGTTCATTGCGCTCTGGCTCCATTTGGAAAGCTTCAGCCTGTAGGCATCCGTTTCATGCTCTTTCACATCGTCCAACACGATGGCATGGTCTGCCGCATCCTCGCCACCTTGGCCACCTTGATATACTAGAGTCATCATCACATCACTGTTCACACTCTGCATTGTTTCTAAGACAACTTCTCGCTCCATTGAACAGACCCAAAGAAAACAAAACCTACACCGTGACGGACCGTCACGGTCACCTCAGTCAAAGGGTGAGACCACTAGTCGAACTGTGAAAATTGAAGCTAGAAACTGGCATCGGCAGGAGCATCAGCAGCGAGTGCACCAACATCAGCTTTCATGGCGCTGGATAGCGCTTGAAGAATGCAAGGTTCAAGCAATGGACGCCCTCTCTCGATCAAAAATTCCTCAGCATTTTCCACCGATCCCCAACGCCCGCTGGATACACTCAGCGGATACCGTGATCCAAGAGCTCGTGTATCAGCGTCTTTGGAGCCGTGATGATCATCCCACGCTTTCATCACCTGACTTGCTTTTTCCCTCCAGACATTCACAAGCTTGGCTAGGCTCGCGTAGTACTTGTCGAAGCCACCCAGCACCTCCTTGCTGAAACATTCACTAATGAGTGAGTCTGTCAACACCAAGCCGCTGCGGACCGCCGAGTGGAAAACGTGTAGGTAACAATCGGACGCAATGTACACCAGGTTGTCGACTGACCCCACGCTGCACGCAGTCCGCTTCTTGCGTGCCGTCTGGTCAGTTCCTCTGTCAGTGGTGTCCAAGTAGGCAATCACGGACCTGCCTTTGAGGCATGAGTTCCTGAACTCTCAGATTGGAAACAAAACGCAGAGGTTGCCAAACAAATCATAAAGTCACTTACACAGACTTAGCGACACAAACTAATTAGAGTCATGGCTTCTCCGTGTCCATATCCGCTAGAAGATCAGCAACCGATGGCACGCCAATCGAGTTCAACTGCTTTTGCATGATCCCAGCGCAATGCTCGGCTGTACTTCCAGACACAACCTGGAGGTCTGACCTGACACAAAGAGTAACCACAACAACGACAAGAAAAAGAACTGAAGATGTAACCTGCTGTAATCGTAACCGGTGCTGAGGCTGACGCAGGCAGCGCTTGGTGTGGAGAAAGTCTTCAGCATGAAGAGGATATGATTTCACAGGTTTGCAAACTAAGCCCATCTGAGCTTCACAAACGTGAAGCTTCTCACGTCTCCAGATATTGCTGTTTGTTGCGTCAGCTCGCACGCTGATGAAAACAAGATTCCATTTGCCGCCATAAGATATGTCAGCAAGGTCAACGTCAGATACATGCGCATCATCCCGATCTGCATGGTCATGGCCACCGTCACCGTCTGCAGCTGGTGCTCTCAGCTCAGCTAAAGCATTGTTCGCAAACTCTTTCATGCAAGCATTGACTGATGCGCCTGTTCTCACTTCCGCTCGCAGAACTGTGGATTCACTCATGTCCCTCAAAAGCATCGCCCCGACATCTGCTGCTGCAATATGAGTCAGATTGCGGCGTATACCAAGTGCAAGGATTGACTCAGATGTCAATCGCTTGCCCGATTTAGACACTACCAGCTCAAGCGGTGATTGCTGCGACTGCGAATCCTGCGCAAGTTTCAACTGTTTGCTTGTCTTGGTCGCCTGTGCCACAACTTGTCTCTTGACCTTGCGCACTTGGGCCAAAGTAGCTACTGCCCTCGCCAGATTCTTGCAAGCCTGCGCACCCACCACAGCAGCACGTGCGTGAGTCATGTTACGAAAATCTGCTTCGGTCATGACACACAAATCTTTCTGCGGAAGCCGCCCTAGGCCCCAATTGTTCTTTGGCGCACGTTCAACCAGACAAAGTATACCATCACCGGGACCATCACCACCACCGCCACCAGGCCCAGCCGCATCTGCAGCAACAAGTTGCGCGCCAAATCGTTGCTGCGTGGATTCTGATGGCCCTGATGGCTCTGCATCTACATCAACCACTTCCACAGGCACAACCGCGTGTTCAGATTCATGATCATCCTCCTCAATTGTCTGTGGCGGCTGGCCATGCGCTAAATCAATCAACGGAAGGCCAAGCCCCTGTAGAATAATCTGGACATCACTGTGTTTCAGGAAACGGCTTCTCACTGTTTCGACCTAGGCTGCTCACAACATTGTGGTTGCGAGCATGACAGTGACCGATGCCGCGGTAGTGAAACGTGGTCGTGAAACACATGAACTCAAATGGACTCGTGATCATGCATGGTGCGCCGGTGAAACGGTGATGAACTCATATGCACTCGTGATCATGCATGCAACATGCTGGTGAAACTTCACTCGTGATCATGCATGCAGCATGCCGCGTGAAACTGCCATGGACTCATATGCACTCGTGATTATTCGTGATCATGCATGTGCATGCAGCATGCTGGTGAAACTGTGATGGACTCTTCTGCTCGTATGCACTCATGATCACATATGCAGCATGCCTGTGAAACGGTGAAACAGATCTGCAGGCAAATGTGGACATCCATGCAGCATGTGCAGCATGCAATCACGAATCACGAATCATTCTCATACTAAGCTGCCGAGAAGCCGCTGCAAGCCTAGCACCAACCCTGCTGCTTGCAAGCCGTCGTGCCTCACCTTTGGAAACCAAAATATCAACAAGCAATGATTGAAGCGCCGCTTTGCCATAGACCCTCTCGCCGGAGACCTCAGTGTTCATACCAGCAGCCCATGAATTGAGCCGCCTGGAAGCAATCGTGTTTGATAATGCCATGGCTGCTCACCATTAAAATACAGATTCCAGTACCAACGCAACCAATGAACGTGAAACTGTGAGACACTCCTGGCAACTCACTGCTAAAGTGTTGGCCCACGACACTGCAACAAGCATATATGCAATCCCTCTGCTGTGGTCACATGACCTGAGCCAGATCAAGCAACGTCTCAGCTGCCGGCGCAACATGACTCGTGCTATCTGTCGATGTGAAACTGAAACGGTAGCCGTGAAGAAGACATGTAAAGTGGCCACTGAGCAACGATAGCCGCTCACCCTGCCAGTGAAACAACCACATGTTGCATCAACACATGCACATACTTTTCGACTCGTGCCATCAGAAAACAACATGTGTGCCGTGCAAAAATGAAGCATTCCGATTTGTGAAACCAATGATTTCTGTTCGCTTGCATGTTATACTTAATCATCTAGGATTTCCCATTATGTGTTGTTTGCTAGCCCACCAGCCAATTCTTAATCTATCCCCAGCCCCCCAAGTAGTAGCACCAGCCCCCTTAGGACTGATTCTAAACAGCAATCCGTTTGCAAGCTGTTCCTACCCAACCATACATTTGAAGGTTCATACTAAAGACCCCTTTAAGGGAACCCTTACAGTAACCTTGAAAGGAGCCCGTAAAGAACCCCTAAGCCCTAAACCCTAAACCCCACAAACTACGGCGAACTAAGAAACGGGACCGGGGCCCGGCCTCTTTGGAGCTTTCGGGAGCCCACTCAGAGCTGATGCTGCAAGAGCCGACCTCTCGCCCCCCCGGGCACATTCCACCCGGTACCACACCACAGGGTTTAGGGTTTAGGGGCTCTTGAAGGGCCTCTTTAAAGCTTACTATAAAGGTTCGGCTAAAGGGCTCTATAGGGGTTTAGGGTTCAGGGTTTAGGGTCTGGGGTTCTTTTAGGCTTTAGGGATTCAGGGTGTGGAGCTTTTAGGGATGAGGGTTTGGGGTTAATAGAGAAAACATCGTAATACTATTCTATACCATACTTGATGAGTGACTGACTAGACTATACTCTCTTTCTCTCTGTATATATATATATACACATACATACATACATACACCCCTATTGTCTAGTATACTGCAGTATACAACAATATACTAGACAATGCTTTGCTCTTCTACTCTATTCCATATACCACATACCACACCATACCAAGCCACACCAGGTCAGGGCGAGACCATAACATGCCAAACATGCAAATGCGCCTCTTATGTGTGCTACAGTACGCCTTACACATACGTATGCATCTTGCAAACATACTTGTCTGCGTTACTTGGCTTTGCTGTTGCCCTGCACTCTTCATCACCGGCTGTATTGTCAAATCTACCCTGTAATCCCGTGGCCTCCCCATTCGTCACCGTCATCCGCCTTCAGGGGGTATGTCAGGTCTTCGCAGCCTTCTATCCTACACAACTGCTCAAAAGTCGAATGAACTTGAGGGACAGCTGTGAATTCAGATGAACTCGGGAACTCGTTGCCCGCGGCGTAGCAGAGACTACTTTGGCTTCAGGGGCGCACCCCAATATCCGGCGGCTGCGGGCCCAAGTGCTCGTGATCGAAGACATCCCGCGTGTCACCTGCGGACCCCGACGGCCAACAGCCCGAGATGCTTTTGGTTTGTTGTAGGAGTTAGGGTTTGGGGTTTCATAAGGATTCAGTCGAACGTTCAGGGTTCATGCTGGGTAAGGTTCGATTTATATACCACCTGCTCAAGTTGTTGCAATGGGTCGTTCTTCTGACTGTTGTTCGTCTTGCTCTTGCCGTTGCTATTGAAACTATTATTGTCATTGTTCTCATTACGATTCTGCTCACTACATCCTACTGTCTTTCTGCACATGGTGCCTGCGATACATCGGGCATTGCTCCTGGCATGCTCTTTATGAGTACAAGCACCAGGGTCATGATAATGTGCTATCTGATATTTTTTGCAGAAGAGCAGATTCTGACACCGTAACTAGAACATACAAGAACCGAATCAACTGCAAGCTCGTCGCCTCGCGCTTTCTGCGGCTTCGGGCTGCTGCTTCGGCCGCGCGGCGAGGCGCTCGGCGAGCGCATGCCTGCCACCCACACGCCGCTCTGGAGCTTACGGTGCGAAGCTTACCGAGGACCTCGGGTGACAGGGCTTCTGAACCAAGGCACGGAGCTTTGCATTTATTCAGGGCTTCGATGTGCAGTGAAGCAATTCTGACAAACAATCTGTTGCTGTCATTCTTACCCCCAACTCGTACTGCTGTTCTTTATTATAACTTTTGTTCTTGCTACTAGTGTTCTTGCTACCTTGCTACTAGTACTAGTACTAGTACTAGTACTAGTACTAGTACTAGTACTAGTACTAGTACTAGTACTAGTACTAGTACTAGTACGAGTACGAGTACTAGTACTACTACTACTACTACTACTACTACTACTACTACTACTACTACTACTACTACTACTACTACTACTACTACTACTACTCCTGCTGCTACTACTACTACTACCACGCTACTACTACTACTACTACTACCACTACTACCACCACTACTAGTACCACTACGAATACCACTACTACTACTACTACTACTACTACAACTACTACTACTACGACTACGACTACGACTACGACTACGACTACGACTACGACTACGACTACGACTACGACTACGACTACTACTACTACTACTACTGTTACTATTTCAACTACTACTACTACTACTGCTGCTACTACTACTACTACTACTACTACTACTACTACTAGGACACACGCTCGTAGCAGGACTGGTGTTTGTCATGCGTTTCAACCAGAACGCAATCTTCAGGTTTGAGCACCCTTACGGCGTTGTCGGCTGTCACAAAAAGTGGAATCTGCAAAAGACGGTGCCGTTAGGCTCATGAAGTGCCGAAAGTACTGGCAGGGCCAACAAAAACACACATTAGGCAGCTGCGGGTGTCAGAGATGACGAAGTAATTTTTAAAGGTTTCGTATGTTTCTTGTGCTACGGCCGTCTTACGCAGTCTTTCACAACGGAAAGCACAACTTGCACAGTAGGTTGTACGAAAAGCAAACATGCTGTAAATGCCAGTGTTCTGGACATCCTTGCGCAGTATGTTGTACAAAAAAGCGAATACGCCGTAAATACCACTGTTTTGGGCATGGTCACCAAAGGCATGGGTGCTTGTGACAACGTGTCTTGTTCCACATCCCTGCACAGTATGTTGTACAAAGAAGCAAAACTGCTGTAAATACCAGTGTTTTGGGCATGGTCGCCAAAGGCAGTGACATGAACGATAGCATCCTCCCCCCCACCCCCCACCCCCGCACCCCCCTCCTATTGTGCAAATTGGCTCCGAAACGCATGAAAACCGCCTAGCGTGCAAACTAGCAAAAAAACAAATGTGACATAAATACCAGTGTTTTGGGCATGATCGCCACAGGCAATAACATGAACGTTATTATCCCTCCATCCCACCCCCACGCCCCCAAAACCCCGCTCCTACCGTGCAAGCTGGCTCCGAAACGAATGAAAACACCAGTCCTCCTAAGAGCGTGTGTGGTACTACTACTATTACTGCTACTACTGCTACTACTGCTACTACTGCTACTACTGCTACTACTGCCACTACTGCTACTACTGCCACTACTGCCACTACTGCTACTACTGCTACTACTCCTACTACTACTACTACTACTACTACCACTACTACTACGACTACAACTACTACTACTATTGATCAATTGAACGCTGCGCGAGCGTGCTCTGCGCTTTGCGGGCGCCTTTGGTCTCGTGCACTCGTGAAACTGCTTCTAGCATGCATCGCTCATACCTCTCTAATCAGCTCAAACTAATGAAAACTACAACTACAAAAGCTTCCTCCTCCGACACCTTGGTGTGAACAGACGCGTCCATCTGTGCACCTGTCTCAACAATTAGGCCGTACCTCAGACGAAGCCGACACCTGGAGTATCCGTCTCGTGGCGTCCCACACGGATTACTCATGTTGAAGACAGAAGGCCGTAAGG